CAGGATCTATCAATAGGTAGTGAACAATGAACAGAGCCCTCAGTCTTTGCTGCATTTTCCTGAGATTTGATGGTCGTATGATCATAGATTTAGAACTGAAAGAACCCTCAGAAGTCATTTTAGTTCAACCCCTCATTTTTCAGATGAGAAAACTGAGGCACAGAAAGGTTAAGGGACTTTCCCAGGTCACAGGTAATAAATGGCAGAAGCAGTACGTAGGCATAAAAATAATAATAAAGTCTTGCATTTATTTATTTTTTTTATTTTTAAATTTTTTTATTTTTATTTTTAGGCAATTGGGGTTAAGTGACTTGCCCACGGTCACACAGCTAGTAAGTGTCAAGTGTTTGGTCTAAGGCTGGATTTGAACTCAGGTCCTCCTGACTTCAAGGCCAGTGCTCTATCTACTGCGCCACCTAACTGCCCCCTAAAGTCTTGCATTTATAAAGTACATTACTATTACAAACATTTTTAATCCAACTAAGCAATCTATTATATTCACTTTTTATTGTTCTGTCTACCTGGAAAAACTTATCTTCAGAACATTAGCTTTATGGTCCTGGTGCTTGATCAGGCATTGTTGTTCAGTTGTTTCAGTCATGTCCGACTCTTTGTGACCCCATTTGGGGTTTTCTTGGCAAAGCTACTGGAGTGATTTGCTATTTCCTTCTCCAGCTCATTTTACAGATGAGGAAACTGAGGCAAACCAGGATTAAGTGACTTGTCCAGGGCCACACAACTAGTAAGTGTCTGAGGCCAGATTTCAATTCAGGAAGATGAGTCTTCCTGACTCCAGGCCTGGTACTCTATCTACTGTACTACCTAGCTGCCTCCTATCATCAGACATAAAGGTATGTAAGCTCTGCTTGGACCTGTAAAACCTGGAAATGCTTCAAGTAAGGGACCGGTGATGGACCAGGTGTTTGCCATTCATTCTAAGATTTGCCCAAGTTTCTAAGATCAATGAAAGGAGGCTAATTACTAGGTTGAATACAGGGTAATGAATTTTCTTGGCCACAACTGCTTAAATTTTTTTCTTTATATCTTTTGTTTTTATCACCTTTATTTTGAGATATATCTCTTTTTCCTTTCCTAACCAGAGAGCTATCCATTGTAACAAAGAAAAAAAGAAGAGGAAATTAAAAAAAAAGCCGTTTAGTAAAACTCACCAACACCTCTGTCAAGTCTGTTGTGTATATATATAATGTTCCACACCCAGTTTCCCACCTGTGCAAAGAAGAGAGGGAGGGAGGTGCATTTTCTCATCTCTTGGGCCAAGCTTAGACATTATTAATTAAATGGCCTACTTTCCTCCCACCCTCAACCATTTCCATTGTTATGATTTTGTGTTTTTCCTGATTCATATTACTTTATTTTGCATCATTTCATGAGTCTTCCCATCCTTCTCAGAATTCTTCATATTCTTATATAACTTCTTAAGGGATACTAATTCCATTATATCCACATACCACAATTTATCTATTTCCCAATCAATAGGCATTTACTGATTCCTGTTCCTTGTTATCATAAAAAGTGCTATTAATGAATATTTTGCTGTATAGATCTTTTCTGTCTTTGATGTCTTTGTGTTACATGCCTAGCAGTGGGATCTCTGGGTCAAAGAATATGGACATTTCAGTCATTTTTAAAAAGCATAATTCCAAATTGCTTTCCAGAATGGACCAATTCATAGTTCTACCAGCAGTGTATTAGTTTGATCACAGGAACTATTGACGGTCTATTAAGTTGCTGGGAAGTTCTCTGTCAAAATGGAAGCCGAATTTTCAGATGGACATATCATTAGTAATTATTTATGGACTTTACCTGAATGAGATCTAGTTTACAGCAACATCAGCAATTCAAGGGTTAGTGAACTATCTTGTTAGGTTATCCCTGCCCTGATTCCTCCAATTTTCCTCCTTTGGCATGTCTAGTTGAACTTTTCATGACTTAACAGCAATTTTGCCTTGGGCATAGCAAAAGACGAAAAAAAAATAAAGAATGGAAAATTCAAATCTTGCTCTCCATTCCTATAGATTAATAGGTCTGGCAAATTTCAGAGTAGAAAGAGATTGGAACTGTGACTTCAGGCTTGAGGATTACTATGAATTATTTGTACTATCTTTGTAACAAATTTCTGTAAATATTTAGAAATTGATTTTGAAGTATTTATGAAAAAAATGGAGCTCAGAACTAGGAAACTTGTTCTAGTTTATTCTTTTACCTATTCTTGTTTCCCCATCAGTTAAATATGGTTAATGATGATCAACAGGACTTATTAATTACCTATTATGTGCCAGGCACTGATAACTTTTCCCCCTATTTTAAAGGATATTGTAAGAATTAAGGAATATTTGAATTGAAGATTAAGGCTGCTTTCAAGACATATCTACATACAATTTCTGCTTACATCCAAACTGCCACATTTCTTCTTTTCCTCATCTTTTCATTGTCTCATAGAAACAGGTGAATTTTCTCTTACCTATGTGTCTCACCTATGGATAACCTCATGTTTACTCCTTTATTACAGCCTAGGATCCCACTTTGGAAAATCCAGATAGGCTAAATGGTAAAACCTGGTTGGGAAGGAATCTTAACTCTCTGGGTGGATCAAAGTACAGTAGAAAGCAATACTTATAGCTTACCATTTCCTTAGGGGGTAGAAGGTGGGTTATGGAAGCAAAAGGGGTCTGTATAAAACCTTGTTACTATGTAGGATGCCCAGGATGTATTCTTCCTCTGAGTCCAATCTTTCTTGCAGTCATAAGGTCATTGCTTTAGAGCTAGGACTTTAGACACCAGAAACTTACATGTGAGAAAATTGAGACCCAGAGAATTAAACTAACTTGCCCAAGGTCACAGATGTAAGTGACTAAAGTAGGATTTACACCCAGGTCTTCCTGACTCCATGTCCAGGTACCCTTCTCAGCTATTCATCTGCAAAGTCTTGGCCTAATTTACTCTTCAGTTTTTCCGTTAAAGCAGATTACTTTACAAAGCAATAAGCTATTCTGTATCCAGTATCCAAACTAAGCCTATGCGTAAAGGATGTGATGAAGGGGTTTCCCGCATTAGGAAACACAATTGGACCTTTAATTTTCCTTCTAACTCTTAAGGTTTTGTGGCTTTTAATAGTAAAGAACAATTGTCTTTGAAGATGGCTGTACACAAGGATTCTGACTATTCTAGTAGAAGACAAAGGTGTATCTTAGAGACGATGGGGTTCGACACTTCATGGAGTCCTACGCTGCACAACTGTGGTAGAAGTACAAAGTCTTAGCTACTTATGTTGATTCTTTCTGAGAACTGGGTAATTAAATAAAATGGTTGAAAGCTCTACCAATCATTAGTAATTTGGCTATCACTTGAGCTTAAAATTCTAATTAAAAATACAGGCTTCCTTTTCATAAATATATTTTATATGTTAAATAAATAAGCTTACAACATTTTTCAGTTGTTTTTGCTTTTTATTTTATATTTTTCAAAGTTAACTGTAATGCCTGGCAAATTCCCAACTACTTAGCAGTGGCATGTGGTACATTGAGGAAATCACTTGTACAGCAAACTTCTGCTATAATCTAATCATTGTTACCAGAAGGGTGTAGGGAATTTTTATGGGGCAGTTGGTGTTGAGTGAACATAGGGATTTCCATGGATTTCCATAGGAGAGTTGTGGTTTAGGAACCTAAATATGGCAACATATAACACCTTGTACCATTATTAGATTAGCAGCACCACAAAGATAGTGTGGCTTTTGTTGTTTTTGGAAATTTTACACAAGTGATCTAACATTTAAACACTTTAAAATATTTTAAATCATGTTAAAAGCAATTTAGTGTCCCCTAGAATGAAGAGTGGCACAGAAGTTCAATGCCATGAGTCAAAGGAAATTTAAAAGTTGAAACTGCAGAGGTTCTAGAATTGCCAAAAAAGGTGATTCTCAAGCATTTCTCAGAGAACAGGGCACTCCAGTAAGGAAGAGCACTGTATCCTTTTTTCCCTGAAAAGAAAGGAACTGAGTTGGAAAACTGAGAGAGAATGACATTTCCTCTGAGACGGCACTAGAAATCTGGATTACTACCCTTCAGACAAAGGAGGAAATTACACTATAACAAGTCCCATTCTATACTTCCCAAGTTAGTGCCTGAGGTAGCCTGGATGTCCCAGGGTCAGGGTTAGGAAAATGTCAAAATTAACCTGACCTTCTGTGGCAATAAAAGTGTGTTGTTGTTCAGTTATGTTTGACTCTTTGTGACTCAGTTTTCTTAGCAAAAATACGAGAGCAGTTTGCCATTTCCTTCTCCAGCTCATTTTTGATGAGGAATTGAGGCAAACAGGGTTAAATGACTTGCCCAGGGTCACATAGCTAATAAGTATCTGACACATGTTTTGAACTCAGGAGGATGAGTGTTCCTAACTTCAGGCCTGGCACTCTATCTGTTGTGCCATACTAGATACCCAACAAAAAAGTAGTAGGAGTTAAGAACTACATGTGGCCTTTTTGGCCAAATGTATGATTAGAAACGAAACTTGTTGCTAGTAGCTTTGTGATGGTTTCTCATGTTAAGAAATGATGAAACTGGCATTTCCTTGAGAAAATCTATTACAAAAGAGTAAATGACTACATGCCATTGCTTCCCTCTTTAAGATTGCCTAATATGAATGCCTTAAGAGAAGTTAATAATCATCAAGGTGATTTCTGATCTCCCTAATTTAAAAGGAAAAGTAAATGCTCAGAAGTAGCTAATGTGTGCTACACACAAAATAGGGATATGGTGAATAATGAATAAGGAATCCATTTAGAAATACAATTACTTTAGGGGCAGCTAGGTGGCGCAGCAGATAGAGCACTGGCCCTGAAGTCAGGAGAACCTGAGTTCAAATCCGACCTCAGACCACACACTTGACACATACTGGCTGTGTGACCTTGGGCAAGTCACTTAAACCTGATTGCCTCACCAAAAAAAAAAAGAAAAGAAAAAAAAAGAAAAGAAGTACAGTTACTTTAAAGACCAATTTTTCTGGGCAGCAGCAGCATCATAGGTACAGGGGAATCGCAGCTGGGACACAGCCCAAGGATTTTGAGTTGCCTTGTTTATATTCCCTCTCCCATTAGTGATGTGGGAATTTGTGGTAGAGTGCCACAAATTAGTGGCATTATATGGACTGGGAGGAAGGGAAGAGAAAAAGGATTTCCCCTGTTATTTTGCTATGCTCTTTAGTTCTGTCTTTTCCTTTGGGAGAAAAAAGAGATTGATTGTCTCTGTCTAGTCCCATTATAGCAACTGAATCCAGTCCAATACTTTGTCAGTAGTTTAAGATTCAAATCCCAAGTTCACTTCACAATGCACTGATTCATACAAAGTCTCCCCAATTTTCTTGAATAGTTTCTTCTTAATTATTTCTTCAAAACCATAATCCAAGTTTCTTGAAAGGATACTTTTTGGTTCTTCTCTTAAAATTAATGGCAATCCACAATGATTTCATAAAGTACATACATTACACTTTGCTGTTAGACATGTTATCATTAATTTATATCGTTGTTGTTGTATATATTCCTTTAAGAAATTGGTTCAGCAGTCCTTCAGAAACTCTTTTATAAATAAAATGCTACAATTCTATCTTTTGAAGTCTGTCTGTGTCACTTAAGTATCGATTACTTAGAGACAGTTTATGTACAGATTCCTCTTTTTGCTTAGTAGTCTTTACAAATCTCAAAAGATTAACAATGGCAGCAGGAGTCACCCCAGGTATTCGACTAGCAGCTCCAATCTAAGAAATGAAAAGAATAAATAAACATAAAGCCATGATCATAGCTGCTGTGTTTTAAGGTTTGCAAAGTTCTTACTATTAGGATTAATTATGAATAATAGTTAACAACTATTAAATACTGTCCTGTTTAATCTTCACAACAATCCTGGAAGGTAAGTTCTATTATCTTCAATTTACAGATGAGTAAAGTTAGGCAGAGAGAGGTTAAAACTTGTCTGGGGTCACACAAGTAGTAAGTATGTGAGGCTGGATTTGAACACACATCTTCCTAACTCCAGGCGTAGGACTCTATGCCTTATACTGATGTCCCTAATTCCACTGTGAAAAGAGGGACTACCAACTAAAGAGTACACTTCTCCAACCACGTATAATTAATGAGTTGCTTAGAGGCAGTTAATAGAGGCACTAATATGAAAATGAACGGAAAACTTTAGAATGAACTTGCTAACAATAATACCTGATACTTAACATTTGTAAAATTAGCTATATAAAACATAGTCATGATTCCATTTTATAGAATAAAAATAAAAGAAAAATAAACCACACAGAAAAGTCTGAGCTAGGATTAGACAGTTGTTTCTTCGTATGATGTAAATGCTAGGACAGCGAGGATGGGTTTAGAGGCACTAGTGTCCTCCATTTTGCTCTGGTTAGCCTTATCTAATATACTTTAAACTATCTGAAGGAAGATGCTATGTATTTCACGAGTCTACCAATTTTGTAGATAGGTTAAAAAATATTAGGTCTGCAGAAAATGTCATCACTTCATAAAATCCAGAGCATTGGCAGTGCTTACATTTATCAAAGTTTACCTCTTTCTAGCATACCTCATATACCCAATATATTACATTTTTCAGTAAGCTAAAGAAAAAAGTATGCCTGTGGTAAGTATGGGTTAACTCATATTTTTTTTGGTTTGTTTGTTTTTTTTGGTGAGTCAATTGGGATTAAGTGACTTGCCCAGAGTCACACAGCTGGTGAGTGTTTGAGGCTGGATTTGAACTCAGATAGTCCTGACTCCAGGGCGGGTACTCTACCTACTGCACCACCTAGCTGCCCCTGGTAAATACTCTCTACAGCAACTGATTGGATTGTGGCCCCCAACACCATCCGAAATACTGATGAGTGTTCCTCAATAAGATTAAAATGTAACTAGAAAATATTTGACAAAATAAATAAAAATACAATACAACATAGATAATATTAGATTTTCTAAGTCAGTCTGTATTTGAGTTTGACACCACTGCTTCTAGAGTTTTCCTCCCAGGAAAAATCTAACCAAAAGTTAATAGAAAGGCTAGGCAGGGTTTATTATATAATGTTTGATTTCGGTGATTGGCAGTTGGGGGTGGGAGAGGAAGAAGAAGATGGAGGGGACAGAACCTGTGATTTCACTGTTACAGGGAGCTCCTGGGGAGAAAAAGCCTGTATCTAAAGCAGGTCAGCATCTGTTCTGAAACTTTATGGAGTTGCCTGGGGGCACTTGGAGATGAAGTGACTTGCCTGGAGTCACGAAGCCCATGTATTTGGGTAATAGGATTTAAATCCATCCAGGTCTTCTTGATTCTGAGACCTTAGCTCTTATCTAGTACTCCATCTGAAATTACTAATCAGTAATTATTACAAGAATAATTCCATGCCTTTCATAGTCCCTCCTCCCAAACGAGATTTCCATACAGATATAAGATCGTAGCAATTAAAACTGTAAGGGACCTTAGAGGTGAAGGTCAAACCAGTTATTTTATAAATGAGGATCATGAAGCCTAGAGAAATGAAGTAACTTGCTGTAGGTCATACAAAAGGATAAAGAGTCAGGACCTGGTGCTCCCTAGCCAAAAGCCACTGTTCTTTCCATGTCCCTTTTCATTAGATTCCTTTTAGGCCCTACATACAAATTATTTTGAAGAGATGGCATATAACATTGTTGGTACTTGACAAAAATCATACTTAAGCCATAATTTTTGATTAGAAGTTCTTTGTTCAAGTCTCTGCCACACAAAGATAAAGGAACTCAAAAGAAACCTGACAGCCCAATACTCATGACAAAACTAAAGCTCTGTTTCCTCGTACATGTCACAGACCTCTCATGTGTCACTTACTGTCTGTGGGCGACTGGATTGAAGCTTCTCTCGAACTTCTTGGGACAAGGAAACCTCTCTGATAGTCAAATAATCCAGATCTTTTGGGAGCTGAAGGGTTTCATCTCGTTGAACTTCCTCTATTTCCTGTTGTTGAAGAATCAGACTTAATTCATAAGTTGCTGGTGAAGAAGAAAAGTAGAAAAGTTATGTAACATTATGTACAGATATAGATATTCTGCATGTCATCCTCGTTTAAAAAGAAAATTAGAATCAAAACTAAAATTAAAAGATTTCTAAAAATGGATTTTATCCTAAATGCAAAGATTTGGTGTACTCAGTCCCTCTATTTATATTCCAGAGCCTTGAGTTTCACTATGAATCAATGTTTTTACAATAATGATCCACACAAAAGAAGTCTAAAATGAAATTTTGGTGAGAAGGACCTGCCCATCTCCAGTAAAGTTTTTCTAAAGGTTGTTTTAAAGGTGCTATTCACCAATTATTTTAATAATCTAAAGTAGCAGCAAACATATGTACATTCTTGAAGCTACCAATCAATCACTATGTATCAGACACTGCACTAATTGCTGGACATACCTGGAACATCTTGGAAAATAAAAAAAGTGAAATAAAAGGACCTTTTGCTTGTTCCACAGATAATAGTGGAAGGGACTGGTAATTAGACCAGTTTTGAAATTCAATATTAGGATGGGAAAAGACAAATTCTCAGCTGGAAACATTTAGTGGTAGCAGTAAGTAGACTATTTTTCTCCTAAAGTCTGGGAATAAGTGCAATTACCAGTCTAGAAAGAGAAAGCTTACAAATTACACTGATGAAAAGCTTTGAAACCAAACAGTTTGTCACAGTAAGCACTCGTTTTTCCCTCTGGAAGTATAAATTTGGAAAACCTATTAAGTCCAATTTATTGGTAGATCTCTATTATCCAAAGAAGAGAAATCATCTCCAAAAACACTAGTGGTCTGCTATCATAATCAAGATAACAGTTTGGAACTGACTGGGTATAGTGACTGAGGGAAAGACACTTATATTTCCCTTGGTATCTAGAAGCAGCATGTAGGGGAATACTGGACTTGAATTCTAGTTTTGGGTCTGCTAACTCATTCTGTGACAACTCTGGATAAGGCTCCAGGATTTTCATGGAGGTGGTATCCATCACTTCTCTTCTGGAATACTGCAATAATCTAAAATGAGGGATTTGGAGAAGGTTATATCTAAACATAATCTAATGATAGGTAAATGACAGATCTATATTACATAGCATCAGGGGTCCCCAACCTTGTTGTGGGGACCAGCCATTTTTTTAAGGTCCTCAAAATTTTGAGCAGTGAATATTGTATGAAGAGGGTATACTGAGATCCAGAGGAATGTCAATGGCAAGACTGCTGAATGTGATCTAAACAGCTGAGTGAGTTTTAACTTTGTTACATTATCATACTAAATTGGGCCATACTAAATAAATACCAATGAAGCACTAAACGTAGTAAGATTATGGGAAGAACACCATGGCTGGAAGCTGCCTTCAGTCAATAAGTGTTTATTAAACACCTATTGTCAGGCACTGTGCTAGGTGTCTGGGGAAACAAAGGAAAAGTGAAATCAGTCTCTGCTCTCAAGGAGCTTGGAAAATGACATACATACTTTACCTTCTATTTTCAGTCTGTTCATTAGTTCTTGACATTCAGCAAACTTTGCTAAGGGTTCTGGAAGAACCTTTGCTAACATTGCCATGTCAACTTCTTCATATTTCAAAATGTCCAGAGCGCTAAAAATACCAAAAGGTTTACTTAACAAGGGAATTACAAATCACATGAAACAGATAAAGGATCAGAATCCATGAACTATCTCTATGGAAAGAATTATATTATATTTAAAAATGACATCATCTTCTTATTTTTGCCACCTCTGATAAATTTTAGAAAAAAAATTTCCCACCTAGAAGAGTCATGTGCAACAAAAAAAATGCAACCGACTGGAGGAACTAAATGTGTCCATCTTTTAAAGTAACCAGATGGAATGAAAGCAGAAAGGTTCCTCTTTTAGTAGAAAATGAAACAAAGTAATAGTTTTTAAAAGTTCTAAAAAATAATATAAGTGCAGTTATTGAATGCTGAGCTTCTTTGCTGCTGACAAAACCATTACTGCATTTGTCTAGTCTGCCCTCCACTTCCCTTATCTCTGGAGTTCCTTTCTATGACCACTCTAACTGTTCTCCACTCTCATTTAATATTCCCTCTATCCTTTGGGTGGAGAATGAAACAAAGCACAAATAATAGTACAACATATAAAACATTTTTATTTACACTAAAATTTGATGTTAACTGTACTATTGTATATTCACAATAGCATGATTCACATTAGGATGAAAATTCCATGGAGAAATGAGCTATGACTCATTTAATTATATTTTAAAAATTCAATCAACAAGCATTTTACTAAAGCACCTACTCTGTGCTAGGCATAAGTAAATGTAGATCTGGAGGCATGAGATAGGGAATGGACCTGTGATTTTACCGATAAGAAACTTTATCTACCAAGGCAGGTAGCCACCTTCTCTGCAATTTCAGACAGCTGTCTGGAGCACTGAGAGGCCAAATATCTTGCCCAGGATTTACACAGCCATATATGTGCAACAGGTAGGACTTGAAACCAGGTCTTCCTACCAAGGCTGCTTTCTATCCACGATGCCATGCTGCCTCTTAGGATATATACAAAATAAGTATACTGTGTTTGGGAGGAAGGTGACTAATAATTGGGGGAATTTCCCCTAACTGGGGGAATCAGGAGAGAACTATTGAAGGGGGTGGCAATAGAGCTAAGCCTCAAAGAAATCAGAGATTATTTACCATGCCATAAGAAACTACGAATATGATGAATACAGAATGTATGCAAAGACTTGCCTAAACTGATGTAAAGTGAAGTAAGCAGAGCCAGAATAAAAACATACACAATTATTACAACAATGTAAATATAAAGAACCATCACAAAATACATAAAAATGAATGTTGTGAAATTATAAAGAGCAAACTTGTCTCAAAAGAGATGAGAGAACATCTTCCCTTGCTCCTTTGCAGAAGTGGGAGGAGGGGAGCTCATGGGTGTGAAACATTGAATGTAATATCAGATCTTTTCTGATACATGTTCAGTTTTGCTGATTTTTTTTCTTCCTCTTTTTTCTTTTTAATAATTTTTTTGTTATAAGAGATGGCCCTCTGGAAGGGGAGAGATACAGAAGGAAATCTAGGAGATGCAAAAACAAAAGATATCAATAAAAATCTAAAATTTAAAAATAAAAGGAGGTGAGGAGTGAGAGTATTCCAGACACTTCTAATAGTGAAGACAGCCAGGTATCTCTTGGCAAAAAGTTCACAGAATGTCATGTATAGGGAATATGAAGTTAGATAACCTGGTGAGAGTTTATAGTACGGGAATAATATGTGATTGTCCTGGAAAGATCAGTGATAGTCAGATTGTGAAGGGCTTTAAAAAGTGGAGGAAGTGGGCCCAGATAGCTTAATCAGTAGAGCATCAGACTTTTGATCTGAGGGTCCAGGGTTCAAGTCCCTGTTCGGGCGAACCACTGCTCCTTATTGGGGCAGTTAGGTAGCATGGTAGATAGAGCACCAGCCCTGGACGCAGGACGACCTGAGTTCAAATCCGGCCTCAGACACATAACACTTATTAACTATGTGCCCCTGGGCAAGTCACTTTAACCCCATAGTCTAGCCGAAAAAAAAAAAAAAAAAAAAAGTGGAGGATCTTACATTTTATCCTAAAGGCAAAAGGGGACCCAGAAAAGCTTTTGAGCAGGTCTATGACACCATGAGGGGGCAGTTAAGTGGCGAGGTGGATAGAGTGCTGGGCCTAGAGTCACGAAGACTCATTTTCCTGAGTTCAAAACTGGCCTTAGACACTTACTAGCTGTGTGATCCTGGACAAGTCACTGAAACCTGTTTGTTTCAGTTACCTCATCTATAAAAAGAGCTGGGGAAGAAAATGGCAAACCACTCCGTATCTCTGCCAAGAACTTCAAATAGGGTCACAAAGAGTTAGACACAACCGAAATGGCTGCGCAACAACAAGATGACACCATCAGCCCTGCACTTGAGGAATATTAATCTGGCAACTATGTGGAGAAGGCAGGATGGGCTGGATGCAGGAAGAGTAGGCAAGAGGTGATGAAGATCTGGACAACACACAAAGGTGGCTATGTAAGTGGAAATTAGCATAGAACAACTGCATTCAACAAATTTAATTTAATAAACATTTATTAAGTGCCTACAGCACTATGCGCAAGGCACTTAACTGTTGATGCTGGAGACACTTCAGTCCCTGCCCTGAAGGAATTTACATTCTACCAGGAGGATATAATTTGTAAAAAGAGGTGTTAAATACAAGGTAATCTGAAGAAGGAGAGCACTAACAACTAGGGGGCCTCAGAAAAGGCTTATCATGGAAGTAAACTAAGGACTCTGAGGTGTGAGACTGCTTGTGAAATGGCACAGGAGTATCAGATGGAACTCTAAGGACAGAAAACGGCAAGTAGACCAGTTTGGCAGGAATGTAGAGCATGTTAAGTGGTACAATGTGAAGTAAGTTTTGAAAGACAGGCTGGAATTCTGTGTGTCAGAAAAGGTCTGAAAACAAAGTGTATGTCCATCAACTGGGTAACAGCTAAGCAAATTGGTAAAAGAATGTAACAGAATATTAATTATAGCATTGTAGAAAATGACATACAACACATTCAGAAACATGGGAAGAACAGGTCTATGTATGAACTGATACGTGATGAAGAAACCATGAAGAAAATGATACACAGCAACTAAAGTAATATAAATGGAAACAATAACATCAATACAAAAACTGGAAGCCTAATACTGAATAATTATAAATGATCAAGCTTGGCCCTAGATAAGAGCTGAGAAAATAAACCTTCCTTCTTTTTTCAAAAATTTTATTTTTTATTTCCCTTCTTCCATTGTAAGGGTACGGGACTATGACTGTGGAATATTGCCTCTTAGATAACTAGGGAATGGCTGAACAAATTGTGGTATGTAACACTGTGCTACAGAAAATGAGAAAAATGCTTTCAGAGAATCTTGAGTATTATAAACTGTTGCAAAGTGAGCTGAACTGACAGAATAACTTACAGAAGGGAGAGAGAGGGGAAGAAAATTTGGAACTAAAACAAAAAAGTGTGTGGTGGGGAGGGGGTCATGGGTGTGATGATCAAGGAGGGATGAAAGCTTCTTAATAGAAATAAGTGTTATACTTTATCAAAAGCTTTTTCTGCATCTATTGATATAATCACATGATTTTTGTTACTTTTACTGTTGATATAATCAATTATGTTAAAAGTTTTCCTTATTTTAAACCATCCCTGCATTCCTGGTATAAATCCTGTTTGCTCATAATGGATAATCTTTGTAATATATTGTTGTAATCTCCTAGCTAGTGTTTTATTTAGGATTTTTGCATTCATATTCAATAATGAAATTGGTCTATAATTTTCTTTCTGTTTTTACCCTTCTTGGCTTAAGCATCAATATCTTATTTGTTTCATAAAAGAAGTTTGGTAGGTCCCCTCCTTTGCCTATTATTCCAAATAATTTATTTAATATTGGAATTAGTTGGTCTTTAAATGATTGACAGAATTCACTTGTAAATCTGTCTGGTCCTGGTGTTTTTTTCTTAGAAAGCTCATTTATGTCCTGTTCAATTTCTTTTCCTAAAATAGGTCTATTTATATATTCTATTTCCTCTTCTGCTAAGAAGGGACAGAAGCTAGTAAAAGAGGTTCCACATTTTTCTAATAATAATTATTTTGAATACTGTCAAAAATTAGAAAGATCTACTCAAATTCTTACCTTTGAGGCTCGCTTTTAGTAATGCTGACTGGGGCTTCTGGAATCAATTTTTTCCATTTGTAGCCAGAAAACTGGAGAGATTTCAGTGCTGAAATTCCTTCTTCTAAAAAAGACTTCACCAAAGAAGCTCGATTGTATCGCTGCTGAGATACACAACCAGCTTCCTTGTAGCCTGGAGAAAGACAACAGGAAGAGCAAGATAAGTTTTTAAAAGCCAGTTACATCAAGTACAGAAGTCACAGGGAGAAAATATAATTACCTCGGAAAGTAAGTCTGCTGTCAGCATTATCAGGCCGGAGAGACACACGGAACTCCACTCGGCTAGTAAACATTCGATATGGTTCACTAGTGCCCAGTGTGGTAAGGTCATCAATCAAGACCCCAATATAGCCTTCTGTGCGACTAATGATAAACGGAGGTTTGCCACTGGCCCGAAGACTGGCATTGATTCCAGCTATTATACCCTACAAAAAAAAACAAAACCAAAACTTGAAAAGTTTTAAGGGTAATTATGAAGTTAATACAGATATGTCTTACTTAAAAGAGGATCGCAGCCTAATAATGTTGTAAGAAAACAACATGAAGCATGCCAATGAACTTAAGTGAAGCTTAAAAATACGGCCCATATTTTGGAGCTAAGAATGGCTAATATTTCCATATTAGCCAAAGAACATGGTTTTAGATGATTACAAAGGATAAACTCATTGTTTCTCTTCTCCACTTCAGAAGTGCAATGCTGTAAGAGGCAGTGTGACATGATGGAAAGAGTATTAGAATCTGAAGTCAGGAATTATGGGGTTAAATTTTGCTTCTCACACTTTGTGACTCTCAACTATGTGACAAGGGCAAGTCATTTAATTTATTGGAGTCTCAGTTTCCTCATCTGCACACAAAGCATCTGGAGGACCTCAGCATCTTTCGGGACCCCTTCTTCCAGATGGACTCTAAGCTTTACATACTCTATGACAGTAGCAAAGACCTTTGTGGAACATATGTTTCTTTCTTTTATGAATTACTTGCTAGAGTAATCAGTTCTTTCTGTGATGGTTGTTATGAAGGAATATTCACATATTCACATAAGCATGAAACTACTTGTTCGACAAGAATCTTTAAGGCTAAACTTTGCTCTATCTTTACCAAAGCTTTTCTGTACCAACAAACAACAAACACAGCAGGATCCTCTATTTTCTACACCTTTCTGGCAATTGTGTGACATCAGTAAAATAGTTCCATCTTATATTTTAATCAAGGACACTCTTAGAACACACATAGATTATTTTTATAATGATGGGAAAGTAAGCATTTGTAATTACTGGTATTCTATCAATCACCCTTTTTCATAATATTTTCTGCGATCTTTTTCTACTCTTTTGGTTATGTTTCCCTCTTTGAGACATTTTAATTTTTTAAAAATAACTTTTTATCATTATGAACTTGGCAAATAAGAACATTTCCCTACACACAGAAGAACAGAAAATATTTATGAAGCCATGAATACCCACTACATGCAGTTTGGCTCTTTTCATATATTTCAAATTTAATATGGGACAATCAACACTTTTCTGCTTGGGTGTCCTCTTCTGAATTTTCATCTGATTTTTTTCTGTTGTCCTTTTTTATGATTTTCTGACATTCTTCTTTCTTTTCTTCCTTTTTTTTAGCATCACATTTACTATCCTCTAATTTCTTCCCAACTCTCTTCTCCTCCCCCAACAAAAATTCCTCCCAATTTAACAAATAGTCATACAAAACAAATCCATAGCTCTATTTTAAAACGTATGTCTAATTCTGTATCTCTAGTCCATCAACATTCTGCCAAGAGGTGGGAAGCATTATTATGCTTATATATCATGGGTTTTATGGGGTGGTGATTAGTTTTTATATTGATCAGAGTTAAGTTTTTCTTTATAATTTTTCTTTATAATATTACAGTCACATTGTATGATGTTCTCCTGGTTCTGCTCGCTTTGGTCTACTTCAGTTCACACAAGTTTTTCCAGTTTCTCTGAATCTGGTCTAATCTAGCCACTCCTTCTTGAGATCCTAGTTCTTCACAAGCTCCAATGGGAATATAGTCATCTCCTGTTTTGAGGGGGTGCAGCAAGTATCTTTATACCTCATTCATACTGAATCTTAAGTGCTTGATGCCCCAGAAAAAGATTTAATGAAGTAATTAGGAGCATTTGGTTCTTCTTTCTTTCTAGTTGTTATTGGAGCTTTTTTCTTTTGCTTTCGAATTTTTTGGCAGGGTCTTTTTCAGTGGAGGGGAACTTCTTTCAGGACTTGATAAGAAACTTTGATAAAAACACTGCAATAATTCTAGGGTCATGAAAATCTTCTTAAGCTCTTTTAGCAAATTCAGTGTTCTAGCTCTCCTCTGAAGAACACATGTACAGAAAAGGGGTGAGGGTATCATGAAGTAGCAGCAGGAAGGGCATAGGCATTCTTCCCTTCACACTTAACATGCTGCTCTCTCTTTCCCAGGCTTTCAAGTCTCCTGCTCTCTGCCAGGGAACATTCAGGTGAAGGACAGTCACAACTCTGTCCTGCTTGGCTGTGACTATGATGATGAAAATAGATTATAAAAAGTCTGATAAATCTGTTCCAATTTCTGTCTTCTTATTATCCTTCTCAGCTTTTAGCTATAAATATTTTGTGATCAACTCACTTAATTAAGTCTAATGTCAGGCTTTGTACAGACCTGCTTATGTTTCTACTGCGTTTTTGATTTTAAGAGGCAATGCTGCTCATAATCTCCCAACATCCTCTTCCATAATGATTTATTAACATGTTTATATTCCAAAAATGGTATTGTTTTTGGCTACCATCTCTGGCAATGAGATCAAGTATTTGTTGGCTAGGTTAGTTTCGGGAATCTTTTGAACTCTTTGTTGTGGCATCTATTTTACATCAGTTAAAATTCTGTAGGAAGCAGTAAAGGTAATATCTTTACCTTTTTCCATTTCCAACTTACTTAGTGACAGCAACTCATTTGATTAGGTCATATCGAAGCTGTTATTTTAGTATTGTCTTCTTTATGTATCCTTGTTTAGTGTTTTCTTCTGATTTAATTGATTTTTATCTCTACTGCAACTAATGATTAGTCTGACTGTATACAGACAGCCAATTCAGGAATGACTGCACATCATTACCAGTTGTTTTCTTTTTGTTAAAATGTGGTCAATTTCATTTTCTATGTGATAGTCTGATGTTCATCACATCCTTCCAAATTTCTTAATGAAGTATTCATGACATATAGATGTGAGGCTTCTTAGTATGAATGAATGAAAGAAAAAAACATTTATCAAATATTTACCGTGTGAAAAGCCCTGTGCTAAGCACTGGGGATACAGAGAGAAAAGCAAGATAGTCTCTATTCTAAAGGAGTTCATATTATAATATTATATAGTATTCATGATTATATTATATAATATTCATATTATAATAGGGTGAGACAACATATATATATATTTACGTCTGCAAATCAGAAATAAAAGCATCGTAGTCCTCTTATGGTATAGCAGCAAAGAAGATGACAATACATCTTCTTTAATGTTATTTCCACTGATAAAACCATATCTGTTTATTATATTTAATTATGTAGTAGTACTAAGAACTTTGGTGATAAGAAATTTCTTTTCTGGATTTTCAGTAGCTAAAGAAGCAGAGGCTGCAACATCTGTAAAAGCGGGTGCCACGATGAATCCACAAGGATGATGGCTGCAAAGAGGCTAGGCTAGAAGCAGAATCCATGGCCTGGGGGTCGGTGGGGGTGTATGACATTATTTCTGAGGCTCTTGAGCTCACTCAAGATCCCTGACTACCTCTATCAGGGTCTTGTCTGGAATATATGATGTCCTGCCTTTTGAGTCATTTACAAGCCTTTGTTATTGTTCCTTTATTAAATCTGAACCATATTTTCCAACATACTTTTTGCTGAGTTCCTCCTTTGCAGTAAAGTCACTATGAAAGTATGTGTACTTAGCTTGAAAGATTTTTTTCAACTTCTTCATCTAACAATAAAACAGACAGTAACTGCTCCTGTAATTCCCCAAGCTAGCCATACAGTGAATAACTATTCCATTTCCAATTGTTATTTCATAGCCCCCAGGTATTGCCTGGGGCAATACAGCCTACAGACTTCTGGGCTTTGTCATCTTTCCTTACACCTTAAGGACCACCACATTTGGCCTTTCCATCTGACCTGCAGCTCAACTGTCCTGTATGTGTTTTCTCCTTAATTAGAATGTGAGCTACTTGAGAGCAGGGACAATCTTGTTTGCTTTTCTATTTGTAATCCTTAAAGCATGGTTTAATGCTACAAACACTGTAAGCCATTAATGAATAAGGACTTAAGTTCAAACCCCACCTCAGATACTAACTATGTGTGACCTAGGCAAGATTAACCTCATTAGGCCTTAATTTCCTCATCTATAAAATGAGGGACTTGATTTCTTCTAAGGTTCCTTCCAACTATAAGCATATGATCCTACAAATGCTATCCCATTACATTCCATATATAACCACTTACTTGGGCAGCAGCTTCTTCATAACCAGTGGTACCATTTATTTGTCCAGCAAAGAAAAGCTGCTGAACCAAATGAGTCTCAAGAGAAGGAGTGATCTGACGGGGGTCTAAATAATCATACTGAACACCATAACCTATCCAAAGAAGAAGCAAAAATGATAAGGTAATGTGACCCAGATTTTCCTCAAAGTAGAAATGGCATAAGGAATATCTTTGTGATTCATTCAATAAACAACACAGAGTACTTTCATGGACATGGTTTGGTGTTTAGGTTTTTCTATTCCCCGACTATAAGAAGTGATATAAACTATGACCCCTTCTCTATATTCAAAAATCTACTACCTTAGTTCAAACTTTGCCTAAAGCATGGTAACAGCCTCCTAACTGGTCCTTTTACCACAAGTCTGTTCTGCTCCACACCATCCTATATGTTGTTGCCAAAATTTTATTCCATGTAACTCCCCTACTCACTAAGTTCTACTGGCTCCCTACTGCCTCTAGGATAAAATATCAACTCCTTAGTTAAGATTTTAAAGCTTTTCAAACCTTACGCCAACCTAAACTTCCAGCCTCATTGTACATCACTCCTGTTTTCTGATCCTCTCTCATTATATTCTTATCTTCTATCTGTGGGTTTTTGCAATAGCTGTTCTTTTGCCTGGAATTCACTCCCTCCTCATAGGATCCCTCTTTTCATTCAAGACACAACTCAAATGCCATCTTTTACATAAAGCCTTCTCTGATCCCTGACCCAACACCCACTGCTTGTATCTTCCCCTCCTAAATGGCCTTGTATTTATTTTCTTTCTATTTTTTTACGTATTCTTATATATGCATTTGTTGTCTCCTCTGTTACAATTTAAACTCCTCGAGAATAAGGATTGTTTCTTTCTTAGTACTTGTGAATCCCCCTGCCTATGGCAGATAATAGAGGCTTAATAAATTCTTTTTGACTGATTTACTCTCAGGTAAAGTAGGGCTAAACTTGCATGGAAGGATAAATATAACCTATTACCTGGCTGTACAATCCTGGCTTTCTCCAAGCCTCTGATAGATGTGATCAGTTGTTCTTGCACATTAGGTGGTAGTGTCATAGAAAGCCCTTGTGGATAGATGAGATCGGAATCCATTCCTTCTGGTTCCAACCAAACTTGATGTATACGGTTTGGAAAACGTAAAACCTTTGATTCAATTGAAGGACAGTATCTATTAATAGAAAATTTGAAACAAATAAAGGAAAAACCAAGGTTAACAACAACATCAAAAGAAGATTCAATAACTTGGGAACTGAACAACTAGAAAAGGGGAAAAAAGCAATAAAAAAGAGCTAGTATGGCTTCATTTAGAATAGGTCAAGCCAGACTAACTTTATTTCATTTTTTGAGAGGGTTACCAACCTAGTACATCAGAGTAATGCTGTGAAGACATAATTTACCTATACTTTAGCAAAGCACTTAACAAGTCTCTGGGGCTAATCTTTTGGAAAAGATGGAAAAACTAGATAACAGCATACTTATACAGATTCAGAAGTGGGTGAATGGCTGAATTCAAAGAGTATTGAACTTGGGAGGAACTTTCCAATAAAAATGTCCCAAAAGCATTAGTCTTTGATCTTGATCCTGTGCTATATAACATTTTTATTAGTGAGTTGGATAAAGGCATAGATGGCAAACTTATCAAATTTTCAGATTTTCAGGTGACACAATTCTGGGAGGGGAGATTAAAAATGGATGACAAAGCCAGGCTCCAAAAAGATACTAGGGCAGATAGAGGGCTCAGTGGATAGAGTACTAGATTTGGAGTCAAAAAGACATGAGTTCAAATTCTGCTCAGATACAAGCTGTATGATCTTGAGAAAATCTTTTAACCTCTGTCTGCCTCCTGTTTCTTCATCTATAAAATGGGGATTAAAATAGCATCTAAAATAGACCAAGTGAGATAACATGTAAAACACTTTGCAAATCTCAAAGTTCTATGTAAATGCTAGCTATTGCTATTATTATCCTGAGAGGCTAAACCAGGGGTGGGGAGCCTTTGGCCTTGAGTGAAGCCTTTCGACTGAGTCCAAGTTTTATAGAACAAATCTTTTTATTAACGGGATTTGTTCAGTGAAGTCTGGATTCAGTCAAAGGGCCACACCTGAGAACCCAGAGGGTCACATGTGGCCTCGAGGCTGCAGGTTCCCCACCCCTGGGCTAAACTGTTAGGCAAAATTGTAAAAGATGATGCAAAGGATTACACTTAACCTCAAATAAAATGGGCATTTCTATATACTTAGAAGAACAGAGAAAGAGGACTATACATCAAACTACAGGTATCTATTATGTACATCTTGCTTTTCTTTTAAATATATATAATAAATTCAACATTACACTTGGTTTCAAAAAATTACCTTCACAAGTATAATAGAGAATTGGCCTGATTTGACAGCAATTTGTCTCAAAAAGATCTGAAAGTTTTAGTATAAAGAAATGGAAGATAAACATAATTTAACAGTGTAATAGTACAGCCAAAAAGAAAACATTAGCTAATGACAGGCATAACTTTAAGGAATAAGGAGAAGATAATCCAACTGTACCCTACCCTTGTCAGATCATATTTGCAATATCATGTCCAGTTCTAGGCACTACATTGATAAATTGGAAGACAGCCAGGATGGTGAAGGGCCTCAACCCCAAGCCATATTAGGACCAGTTGAAAGAACTAGGAGTATTTATCCTGGAAAAGAGAAGACTTGAGAGTTGTGGTGGAGAGGGCAGAGACATGTATTTCAAGTATCTGAAGGGTTATCATGTGGAAGACATGGTCCAATCATGTCACCCCCTACTCAACAGACTATCATCTTCAGGATTAAATATGAAATCCTGTCTGGCATTCAAAGCCTTTTATAACCTCCCTGCAGCCTCCCTGCAGAGCCCCAGCTTCTAATTTTCTTACAACTTACTCCCTACTGGATTCTAGTGACACTAGTCTCCTTGCTGTTCCATGAACAAGATACTCCACCTCTACGCTCTGGACATTTTATCCTTGCGCCTGCAATCTCCCTCCTTCTGGCTTACTTCAAGTCTCAACTAAAATGGCATCTTCTATAGGAAGCTTTTTCCAACCCCTCTTAATTCTAGTGCCTTCCCTCTTTTATTTATTTCCCATTTATTCTGTACATACCTTGTTTGTACATATTTGTGTGCCTGTTGTCTTCCCTAATAGACTGTGAGCTCTGTGAGGGCAAGGAGCCTTTTGTCTTTTTTTTTTTTAAATCCCCCACCAGTTAGCAGTTCCTGGCACATAAATATTTGCTGACTGACTGGAAGAGAAATTAGAATTGTTCTCTTTGACTTAGGTTTGTCAGGATAAACTTCCTAACCATTAGCTCTGACAGTGAAATGGGCAACTTTTTGAGGCATGAAGTTTCCTATTATTGGTAGTCTTCAAGGAGGAGCCAGGTGACTACTTGCTGGGTATGTTAAAGAGAGGATTCTTTTTTGAGTATGGGGTAAACTGCATGGCTGTTGAATTTCAACTCTGAAATTCTGTATTAAAAAAAAAAAACAATACTCAGCACATTCTCAGAACAGTTCATTCTTACCTGGGTCCTTTGGTAGTTTCCTTCACATGACTGTTAAGATGAATGTTCTCATTAACTATTTGTTCGACTCTTGAGTTGGTATGTGTTAAGTAACATGGCAGCTGGTCTTCTGGCTAAAAAAACCATCAGATTTGTTACAAAATTACTTTGAATCTTTAGGTTTCCCTTTAATCAAATCATGAATTATGAGAGGATTTATACAAGCTTTTTACTGATATTAAAAAATGAAGAATAAAAGCATTAACTTCATAATTCCTTTTATTTTAAAGAGGAAGTGGCTTATCCAAAGTCACATAATATTTGGAATCATGATTAGAAACTAAAATCTTCATTTTTAAACTCTCAACTCTTAAATATACAACATAATTTTAAAAAATTGAAATGATGAGGAAGGTTTGGAGAATTAGTAGGATTTTAAAGTATGAGGCTAAATTTTTTTTTCTAAATAGATACTTTTAAAGATTTGTTGCTTGTACTTAAAACAAGAGTATCCAGAAATTTGGACTGATATTAAGCAAATATGAAATGACTTCCTTTAGTGTTAATTACCAAGACTTCTACAAAGTTTCTGATGAATTCCAATTACTATCAAAGCTTTGAAAATTCTTACCCTAAGCCAGACTGCTTCACTGAGAAAGCTGAATGGTACAGATGGGTTGTCAGGCATCTGCTTATTCAAAATGCTAAAATTAATAGAATCTTTGGCAATTCGGGGTGGAGTCCCTGTCTTCAACCTCCCCATAACAAACCCCAATTTCTCCAGAGTCTGTGCCAAGCCAATAGAAGGCTGATCTCCTAGACGCCCTGCTGGATATGCTTCCAATCCAATTAGAATCATTCCTCTAAGAAATGTGCCAGTAGTTAGGATAACACTCTCAGCATACACTTTGCTTCCATCCTCTGGATGATTAAAAAAAAAAGAAGAGGGGGAAAAAAAGAACAAAATTAACTGTCTTTGTTCCAGTCATTACCAAGGACTAAACTGGATGGTGACCACTATTTTTATGTCACTATTATTATTTATGTCATTTTGATGGGGTGCTCAGACCCTGGTCCTAGGACCATATCTTTTCCCAGCCCATAGACTCTTTCTCTGGCAATAACTCCTGAGTGGGCCCCATCGAGGCAAACTATCTCTCCCTGTTACAAAAACAAGCTATTTCTGTAGAATTTTCCCTGCATGAAAAGGATTATCTTGTACCAGCAGAAGTACTGATTCCCAGTATACAATCCAGAGGTCAAGCTATAGACATCAATTCCCAAGGTTATCTTGTTATAGATGTAGGCGTACAGATATAGACTCCTTAGAGGCTACCAAACCCCAAGGCCATGCCAGTAGTGAATGATGCCTGCACCCAAGATACAAAAACTGTATGTTCCTTTAGGAGTTGACCACTCTTTGATCCCACTTCTCCCCCCCACCTAATTAGCATACTTACCACACAATTCACTGTACCTTTCCTATATAACCTTTAGCATCACTCCTGTTAGGTTGCAAGTTTCCTAAAGAGCTCTGCCCACCATATTAGCATTACAATAAATTTTTTGCCACTTGACTGGAAAACTGCTTGAGACTTCGAATTCTTTCCAGATGGCTCTGTCCTATGCCTCAAAAGCCCTACATCCCTAAATCGCATCAATTTATCCAGTGGAAAGCTTTTAAAGAATTTCCGTCTCTAGAAATCTGAGATAGGTACTGGATTTGTAAGCTGGGTTTTACTTTGTTAACAAGTCCAAACTTGCTCAGTAGGGTTTCAAACTTGGTGTCTACAGATACCCGACAGGCCCAATCTAGGATTGTCCCAATCTACTATATCTGACCACTGGACCCAGATGGCTCTGGAGGAGAAAGTGAGGTTGGTGACTTTGCACAGTCTTCCCTCACTTAAATCCAATTCACCTGCAAGACATGGCATCATTTTCCTCATGTCATGGTCCTCTTTGAAAACAAAGAACAAACCACAACCTGTTAGTAGCTGGAGCTGCCCCACTGGGGACCCAAGTGGTCCGTTCCAGTTGGGCAACTCAGCAACTCTTCTCCCTCCCCCTCTCTCCCTATGGGGTATCATACCCTTACCTGAGGGTGCTCTGCCCAAAGGACGGTATTTGAAGGAGGAAACCCACCTAAATATTTTGGGGTATTCTGGCTAGATTTCTTTCTTTTGGCCTGCCAAAGGCTTTCAGGCAGCCCTGGAAAATGTAGAGGATGTAAAAGAAAATAGAAATGTAGTAAGTGCTTTGTCCATGACCTGCTTAAGCTGCCTTCCACTAGTTACTATCATGCCTGTCATGTAACCTAGTGGGTGGGTTGCCACTGTTCATGCTCATTTGTCACATGACCTGTGGCAACCAACTACCTCAGTCTGTCTCTAGTCTGAGAGGACCATCAGTCATCTTTTCTGCTGTGTTTTTGGTTGTTACTAAATGTAAACAGTAAGAAAACCTAAAAAATGCATTAAAACTTGTACCGCTTAGCAAAATAACTTTTTTAAACATTAATGTGATTTTGTGATAAATAAGAATCTTAAGTAGTAAGTGTAATTAATTGATATTAATTGAAATTTTCCTTTTTCAAACTATGGTTTATTTGCAAAATAGTTTAATCATTAATTATACCTTTACTTGGAAAGTGAGTCGCTAAAAATCTATCTTTGGCCCGAACAAGTTTAGTTTATTTTAATTTTGACCCCTACCTACTGTCAAGTTGTGCAGGTCTTCTTTAAATGCAATTCACTCTGGCTCTCATTGACTGGCCAACAATAGGTCCCTACCAAAGCATCACTTAATGGTCACTGTTTGGGCCCTGATGGTTCAGAGTTAATGTAAATAGTAATTGTTTCTCTTTTGGCCAGAAATCCTGAGGGTTGCCCCCTGCCAGTTTGATTTTTTTTTTTTTTTAATTAAAGGGGCCATCCTTTGGCTCACTTCTTAAACAGCCCTCATCAATGGTTACCTGAGTCAAAGTGAGAACTCGAAAGACCTTAGCTTAAAAAATGCCAAGATCTCCCACTGCATCCTGGGACATCTCCAGTTGTCCCGATTTATATCTGGCCACTGGACCAGATGGCTCTGGAGGAGAAAATGAGATTGGTGACTTTGTATAGCCCTGCCTCACTTAAATCTAATTCACTTTCAAGTCATGGCATCATCTTTCTGATGTCATGGTCCTCTTGGAGAATGAAGCACAAGCCACACCACACATAGATACCCAAGGATTCTGTGGACAGATTACAGAGGGTCTGTGAACTTGGATGGGAAAAAAAAAATCACATGTTTATTTTCACTAACAACTAACTAAAATTTAGCATTTTCTTAAATTACTTAAAAACATTATTCTCAGAAAGGTCCATCTGCTTTACCAGACTGCCAAAGGAGTCCATGATACAGAAAAGGTTAAACAGCCCTATGCTAGAAGCTAGAATGGAGCTAATCTAAATAATTCAACTTCCCCTTAAACAACAACAACAACAACAACAAATGACCACAAAAACGCAAAGTTTTAAAAATAGATACTATCGTATATCCTATATCTAATATATACCTAATACAACACCATTGACACGACATTTTCCAGGGCGGCCCGAGTCTGGTTCCATAAGAAGAAGATCTTCCACAGCTGTCTCTAGAACAGTTAGCAGTGGCGTGGTCAAGATTTCCTCCTACCAACAGAGAAAAAAATGATTGAGAAATTTTAGTCAAATTGTTTCCCCACCAATTAATGATCCCCACAGTTTCATTTTCCTTTTATCAATCAATAAGCATTTATTAGTCTACCTACTATATGCCAGGCACTAAGGATACAAAGACAAAAATGAAACTGCTCCTGACCTCAAGGTGACAACATGTACATAAACAAGGATATACAAAATAAATACAAGGTAAATCTATGGAGTTCTTTTGGGAGAGGGAGGAAGGGCCACTAACTGCTCTGCATAAAGTAGGAAAGGCTTCATGTAGAAAGTGTTACTTGAGCAGAGTTTCTGAGAAGTAAGGGATTCTATGAGGCAGAAATGTTGAAGCATACTCTAGGCATGAAAGACAGCCACTGCAAAGGCAGAGAACTGTGCAAAAGGAACAACAACGAGGTCAGTCTGGCTAGACAATAAAGTGCAGGGAGGAGAATAATGTATAATAAGGTTGGAAAGATTGGCTGGGGGCAGGTAGTAAAGGGCTTAAAAAGCTAAACCAAAGGAGTATATACTTTATCCTTGAGATAATGGGTAACTTCTAGTTTATTAAGTAGGAGAGTGACACTCTAGTAAACTCCCTATAACACACTGAAATTCAGAAAAATCACTTTAGCAGATTCATGCAAGATGAATCAGAGAAGGGAGAGACTTAAGGCAGACAGATCTATTAGAAGGCTAATCCAAAAGTCCAGGTAAGAGGTGCTAGGGGCCCAAACTAGGGAGATGACCATGTGAGTAGAGAGAAGAGGATGGATGTAAGACATATCATGGAGGTAGAAACCTTAATATTTGGCAACTGTCTGGATATGTGGAGTGAAGGAGAGTCAGGAATCAAGGATAACATGAATCTGGTGACTGGAAGGATGGTAGTGCCCTTGTCAGAAATAAGAAAGTTGGAAAGGGTGTATTATTGGGTGGGGTAAAGGGGAGGTGGAGAAGGGTTGAAGGGTAAGATGATGAATTCAATTTTATACACATTGAATTTGGGAAACTTAAGGGACATCCAGTTTGAAATATCCAAGAGGTAGTTGGAGACTTATCACTGGAACTCAGAAGAGAAACTAGGACTGGATTGATTGATTCAGAAGTCATATTCACAGAGATGATAATTAAAACTACAGAAGCTGATGAGATCATCACGTGAAAAACTACAACGAGAATAGAACAGGGCCCAGGCCAGAGTGCTGGGACACACCCACAATTAGAGGGTATGATATGGATGGTGACTGAGGGGTTGTGAAACAGGTAAGATAAGAACCAAGAGAGAGCAATGTCACAAACACCCAGCGGAGAGAAAGGGCGTCCAGGAAGAGAGGGTGGTCAACAATGTCAAATGCATTTATTTAATTCTTACCTGCATTTTCTGCTTATAAAGTTTCCTATCAATCTGAGCTCGGAGACCCCATACAGCTGGGCCCTTACGCCGGTTCAGTACTTTATAATGTATACCAGTCTGATCACAGATCCGAGAACACAGACCATCCAGGGCGTCTACTTCCCTCATTAAATGCCCTTTCCCAATGCCTCCAAAGGAGGGATTGCATGACATCTGACCTGAAAAAAGAACATACCAAAACAAAACAAAAAAACAGATTACCTTTGTAATTGTCACCACGAGATACAAATGAAAGCCAGGTCAACAACATACTTACTAAATAAGTACTATATCTCACATTTAGTCAAACTTACTTTTCTTGTTGCTTTTGTTTATTGATGTTCCTTCCCTTTTTTTTTTTACACATTATTGTCAATTCCCAGATTTCCTCTCTAACTCCCTCTCCCAACCCTCTCTTGTAATAAGTTGTAAAGCAAAATAAATTAACACATTTAGACTAACTTTCCACAGTGATAATTAATAATGACTTCTTAACAACTCTTAAGATTCTAGTGATTATCAAAACTGATAGATCTACAACTGAAAGGAACCTAAAAAAAGCCATCTAATTCAACTCCCTCCACTTTTCAGATAAGGAAACTGAGGCCCAGGGAGATCAAGTGACTTGCCTCAGGTAATACAAGTGTTAAAATTTAGAAGTGGGATATGAATCCAGGCCCAAAGTTCTTTCTATTGTATTATAACCCAAATTCATATATAATTATACTGTTAACAACTCAAGTTATTTATACAACTTATCAAACTATAATGCAATCAAGGTATACCTGAGATCAAAAGAAGGACGAAAGAATAACTACACTGATAATTCACAAAACAATTGGTCCAATCATGAGAAACACATTCTGCTGTAAAATATTCAAATGGCGTTCCATCCAAGAATTTGAGGTGGCTCAAATGAATTACACCAACTGCTTGGGATTTGGCCTGTTTGACAGTGAACCTCCTTGTGTTCCTTTGTCCTCCAGCCCTCTTATTTCTCTGTTTCTCATACTTCAATACAGCTGGACCAGACTGCCCCAACCAGAAGACCTGTATGACATCTGCTGCGATGATTTTCTTAATGAAAACTCTGTGACAACTTCTAATTCAGGTCTCTCTGGTTACTGGTGGCAATGACTGGGTATTAAATAGCTACTACATACAGTAACAGTGGGCAAGCCAGGTGGAAGTGGGTAGTGAAGGGAATGGACACATAAAAAAACAAACCTCAGGAGAGCAAGGCGGGGGAAGCCCAATTAACTCTTTGTAAATATTCATCAATTAATACATGCTAACTTCAATTCAATTTAACCCACATTGAAAAAAGAAGCTGTGTGACCTTAGGCAAGTCACTTAGCCCCAATTGCCTAAAAAAAAAAAAAAAGAATCTCTACTATAAGATACCTAACAAGTATTCCTTTTTGGCCTCTGCTTGAAGATCTCCAACGAGGCAGCCATCACCTAGCAAGGCAGCTCATTTAACTTTTGGATAGCTTTAATTGTTAGGCATTTTTTTTCTCTCACAGAAGCCTAAAACTGCCTCTTGGCAATGTCCACTTATTGTTCATGGCTCTACCTGGGTCAAACAGAACAAGTTTATCCCCTCTTCCAAATGACAGCTTTCAAATACATGAACACTGTTATGGTGTCCCCTTTACCATCTCCCTCCCACCTTCCAATACTATCTTCTATGACTCTAGTTCTTTCAACTGAATCTCTGTGACTTGCAATCAAGAAGCATCTGTCTTCCTCTGAACCTTCCCCAGATTATTAGTCAAGTGAATACATCACTTCAAATATAGTTAGAGCAGGGCAGACTATAATAGAAGGGCAATCAGTTCTAGATTCTTATAAGCTATGTCTCTTTTTAAGCTGTCCAAGATATTATTAGCTTTTCTGGCAGCCACATCTGACTGATTCAATATTAAGTCTGCTATCTCTAGTTTTTTGTGATTCGTTCTCTCGATTAAAGAAACTGGCCCAAGATCTTGAATTGAATTTTCAGTCCTAAGTAGTGATGATGTTACAGCACAGCTGATTCTTGGATACTCTCACAATTTCATGGAGATTCACAGTTTTTCTTAACTCGGGCTGCTTTTTCTTTGGACATACAAGCCTCTTTGCAAGTTACATTCCTGTTCTAATTCAGTTATATGCTGAGTACCACATAAAGATTCAGCAAAAAATGTGGAAATTACAGCTTTAAACATCTAGAAATATTTCACAAAATTCAATTTTGCAAATGTTTATTAAAGGCAACCATATGCAAGGAATTATGCTAAGCAGTGGGGATACAAAATGATATAATACAAAGTTCTGTAACTCAAGGATTTTATAATCTAGCAGGGGTGGGGTTGAGGCACAAGTAATAGAAATAACAACTGTAATAGAAATAATTACAATAACAAGATTATAAACTTTAATAAAAATTAGAATTATTAGGATAAGTGCAGGAAATCTAAAGTGCTTTCAGTTACTGGAGAGATGAAAACTTCCTGCTCTGGAGGGCAAGTGGGACTTCTTTTGGGGGGGCACCTCAGGAAAGACTGAGGGTCATTGACAAGGGTTCTTTACTCGGGATGCTTGAACTTGTTTGCAAAAAAAAAATTCTAATATAACAGATTTACTTTGTCATTTTGCATAATTATTTTATGTGTTTGAAAACATTCTGAGAAGAGGTCTATTGGCTTTACTGGACTGCTAATGGAGTCCAGGCACAAAAATGGTAAAGAACTCCCAATTTAAAGGCTGGAAAGGTCATCTCATGCAACCCTTTCATTTTACACATGAGGAAACTGAGTCCCAGAGAGGTTAAGAGATTTGGATTAAACAGAAAGTGATTCCCTTCCCTTTCCTTCAGGATGCACAAATGAAGGGATTCATTCTGCAAGAAGACTAATTCGGCAACTGTCCTAACTTCCTGTGGCCCTTTCCCCCCAGTTTGAGGCCCCTCCCTCACACCCTCTCGGAAGTCGTGGGAGGCCGGTGGAGTTTGGAGGAAGGGGGAGGGAGGAGAAGGGGAGAGGAGAAGGGAAGGGAGGAGGGGGGAGGGACGCGCAGGCGCACTCGGGACCCTTCCATCCCAGCCCCGGCCCCGACCCAGCGGCGGCTGCTCTCACCGATAGTGTCTACGCGGTGCGTGAGCAACAGAGTCCGGGAGCCACATCGAGCCGCGGCCGCCGCCGCCTCCGTCCCCGCATGCCCCCCGCCAATGACCACCACGTCGTAGTGCGGCACCGCGCGGCCTCCGCAGGAGCGGGACAGCGGCGGGGGCTGTTTGCTGAGGCGAGCCGCTACCTGGCGACCCCAGCGGCCGAAGTGGAGCATGGTGAGAGCCAGGCAGAGGCCGCCACTCCCGGGAACTGTGACTAGGGCACCACCGGTGGTCAAAGTTGGCGTGGACTGGGTAGTAGCCGAAGGCTGTAGGGGGCCGCCATTTTTATTGACGTCATGACGCAGGGCGCGCTGCTGTCGAGTGCCGTGAACCCGCCCTACTACGCCTCCAATGGCCTTGTACCCCATGGGGCGGGAGAGAAGGGGAAGCGGCCATGACCACGTGCCCCTGGGCTAATTCCCACGTGATTTCTTCTCCTCTTTCCCAGATCTTAAGGTCAGGGTCCAGGCCTGGGTGGGGAGCCTGTGGCCTCGAGGTTCCCCACCCCTGGTCAAAGCCATGGGGTTTTGACCTTACATCAGCAATTAGAAAAATTTGTATAAAAAAAAAAAAGATTTTATTTTTTACCAACCTAGAACTGAAATGTAGGGTTTCCTTCAATTATGAATTAAAAAATGAAACAAAAAAAATCTCCTCCATTCTAAAAAAGGATGCAGCAGGTTGTCAAAGGAGCTCATGACACAAAAAATTTAAGACACCTCTTCCCCCCTCCCCTTAACCCTATCGGGGACTGCTTGAATAGCACAATATTTGCCTTTTCCACAGCCCCGGCTCCTGGTGGGCTCTGTATGATCATTAGTTTTATGTGTGTGTGTAATTACAAGTCTAAATGTCTAAATCCCTCTTAAGAGATGTTAAAACATCCTCCCTTTCATTTATAGGCTGTTCTTTATTGCATTTTGCCCAGTCTACTCCTCTCTCTTTTTTCTATAGTTAGCATCCATGGCTTTGCACAGCCCTCCCTCATTTAAATCCAGTTCACTTGCATATCCTGGCATCACTTTCCTGATGTCATGGTCCTCTTCCAGAACAAAGGAAAAACAAGAACAGCAATCTTGTTTGTCAGTGGCAATTAATATCAATTAATAAATGTCTCCTAGCTACCATGTACTTGCTAGTATCTAGGGGTACAAAGATGAAAATGAGACTGCCCCTGCCCTCAAATAGCTTACATTCTACTGGGAATATCTACTGGGATCCATTCAGCTTCAGTTCCCCAAGCTTCAGGTCAAGTTTCACTTGAAGGTCAAACTTCTGCAGAATTGGGGTTTCTGGGAAGGAGAAACTTAGTAGGCCCATTCAAAGGTTTTTTGGGGTTTTTTTGGTAACTATAAATTTATTTTAGAATTATGTATTTCTGTGGAGAATGTCAGTAAAAATTTAGGAGACAGGATTTGAAGTCTGTAGATTAGAATTTCATAACTAACAAAAAAATTTCTAAGTCATGTGATTAAAAAAATAACCACATATTTTTTCCTGTGACTTTTAGAAACTGTTTTGTATGGATGTTGAAAATATGTTGGCCTAAATAACATTGTAATATTTTTAAAGTACAAATATGTGTAGACTAAAATTGGGTTTATTTTCAAAGTAAGAAAATAGACTAAAATAGTCTCCGTATTTTCAGTCACACACATGCACGCACACACACTCCCCTTCAAGAGAAAAAAAACTTGTATAAAATCTAAAAATTGATATTCATGACTTTTCAGCTTAAACCTTTTCAGACATGGTTAAGTCATGGTTGGTTAATCCTTACTGCTATATTGAAAGGGTTTAAAGTGGTAATCACTCTTCTAATATGTATGTACTATGAGTTTTGTTCATCTGAAGCTTTTAAATCCAAATGAAAGTGGAATTTGCAGAATTTAAAAAAAGAAAAAAGAGGCCTTCAGCCTGGGCCTCTGTCTTTGCTTCTGGAATTTCCCAGGATTCAGCCTGCTTACCTGTGCCTTCTGCCTTCCCCACTGTCAGCTCCATCCAAACTGACTGCTTGTGGTTTCCTCACACAAGGTGCCCTCTGTCAGCCACTTAGGGAATCAGGCTTCAGGTGTCTGGCTTATGTCTTGTCCCAGCTTCTCCAGTGCTCTGTAGGCTGATCCCAGACCAGAGCCACCTCAGATTGCCAGCTCCTGCCTTCTATTTGGACTCCTACTGGTCCTTTGCTGGCTCCTGCCTGTTGTGAGTTGGGCCTCTTGGGACTCAAAGGACTCAACGTTACCACCTTCCACAAATTTGGACAAAGGGAAGCCCCCAATAATCCAATGACTTTTCTACCTCATGGACTTGTTTCCAGTGACTAATAATCTGTCTGAACTCATTCTTCTATGATTAGCATACTCCTACCCCATCTCAGAAATTCTAAACCCAGGCTAGCATTAGTCCCCCACTGCCCTTTCCTTCTCAATCTTCCCCTCCCGCATGACCTATTCCAGATCTTCCACCTGGGCTCTCTGGAATGCCTGCTGTATAGTTAGCAAACTTGCTTTCATCTTAATCCTTTTCCTTTCTCACTCTTTCCATCTTGCATTCACTGAGACCCATTCCCCTCTGATGACTTTGCATCCCTGGCTACTTTTTTAAATACTGGTTGCACTTTTATTGACTTATTGATTGTGATGAGGGAGTGAATATTCCTTGCTACTCTTTGCCACTTTTTGACTTTCCCTCTACGATCTACTATCTATTATCTACTATCTACTAATCCCTCCTATTCAATCCATATTTATCATATTCAATCCATATTTATAAGATTCTGGTAGCTGTTATCTACTGACCCTCAGGACATTCTTCCTTTCTCTGTGAGTTCAGTTCCTGGTTCAGTCTTTCCTCTCCAACTTCTGCTATCATACTAGGGGATTTTGACATACATATTGATATTCCCTTAAACACCTTAACGTCCTAGCTCCTCAAATGACTTAGCTTCCGTCACCAAATCTTCTGCTTCACCTCAGCTACATGAAGAGATGGTCATTTCCTTGATCATGCCATCACTCACAAATGTTTTACTTCCATGCTCATGAACTCTTAAATTCCTTTATCTGATCACAGTATTTTATCATTCCATCTTATCCTCTGTCTCATAATCCTATTCTTTATCCACACAGTGACCAATGATCCTTCCACCCCTTGGTTCTTTCTCAGGCCACTACCCCTGCCCTGGTTTCACTTCCTGTCCAGGGAGTAGGAGGAGCCAGAGTGTGAGAAGGTGACTTATGACTCCACATTTAATGCAAACTACCTTGAGTTTATGTAAACAGCAAAAGAAGCTCTAAGTATTCCATGGGAAAACTTGCACATGACCTAGTTTATCCCTAGCACTATGCCTTCTTTGTTATGTTTTTATTTAATATCTGACCTGGCCTAAGCCATTCTGTCCTCTTGCTGCCCAAGGTTTGTCTTGTGAGTAAACTCCCCCAATTAACCCTAATAAAACCTATTTACTACCAAGCTGGCATTGGTCCCTGTTTCTTCAATACCTCAGTATTCTGTCAGATGGTTTGCCACCCTACAGTTGGCATAATCAGGACAGAATAGATCTGCCACTTTATGCTTCTCTCTCTTCCCCATTTTGACCTCTTGGTGAACTGTTTCAACTCTATACTATCTTCTACACAAGAGCTCCTTACTCTCCTCCTATCACCAAAAGTACTTACCAAACCTCAATCTTGGATTACTACCACCAGTCTGCTGCCTTTACTCCTGTTCTGTGTTGCAGAACAAAGCTGAGGACATTTCACTAAACTATGTAGACCTGGGCCACTTCAAATTATGTAATCCATAAATTACATGCACAATGTACAAATTACATAATCCCAATTGTGCCTTAATTTCATTAAGGCAGTTCTTTTATAGCTCCCCAATCAATCAGTTTTTCCAGACTTTTTTCTTTCTCTTTAAATATCTTATGGCTTCCCACTCCTTCTCAGTTGAGAACTTTCTTCTTCTTCTCACATTGCACAGATGCCTTCTCCCACTATCTTCTTTACTTTGTTTTACACAAAAGGGTGGCTCGTCTCCTTGCATTGGTGATATCATTCTGTCTTGTCTTCTCCAGCAGATTGACCCCTCTATCCTTGCTGCTATTTCACTCATCTTCTCTCTCTCCCTGTTTATAGGCTGCTTTCCTGCTGCCTTCAAAAATACCCACATCTCCCAGATCCTTAAAATACCTTCGCTTGATCCATCACTCCCAGCTAACTATCATCCTAGATCTCCTTTTCATGGCTAAACTCCTGGAGAAAAACCATCTATGATTAGTGCCTCCACTTGCTCTCCTCTCACTGTCTTTGGTACCATTGGCTTTGCAGTCTGGCTTCCAACCTCATCACTCAATAGAAACTGCTATCTCCAAAGTAACCAAATGATCAATTAATTGCTGAATCTCCATTGCTTTTCTCAGTCCTCATCCCTTATGACCTCTGTGTACACTTTGACTCTGTTGATCATCCTCTTCTCAATACACTTGTAACCCAAGGCTCAAAATTCTTTAGTGTGAGACTGTCTCCTCATTGGTGGAGATCAATGTCCTGCACCTGTGTGAAGAGTGAGGTGGAATTGTAGAAAGTGGGAGAGAAGAGACGTTCTTCAATCCCTTTGAATCTCTTCAGTTTCTTTGGGTTCTGCAGTCACTTTGGGCCTTTCTGGCTTCTAGCTTTAAGAGAAATGGATGATGCCAAACCCTATTTGCTGAAGGGAAGGATCTTGGGAAAAAGTCAACGTGAGAGAAGCTTATGATCTCTATCATGTTCCTATCTCCAGCTTGCTATACTGGAGACTTTGGGGAACTTCCCCTTGGGTGAGATCTAGTATTCTTTCCCAGTAGAGCTGAGTTACCTCACTCTCAATGAGACAGCCCCTTCGCTCTATTGTCTAGTATAGGGCCTCCTATGTATACTTTCTCCGATTTCTGTTTTTCTATTGGTATGAATAAATGGGTTTCTTTGCCACCTGCTACCTGTGTTCATTGTGGAGCTGGTATGTGGTAGGAAGGAGGTCAAACCTTGGATATAAAGTTTGGAGTCCTACTTTAAAAAAACCATCATAACAAGTAAGTATAGTCCAGCTAAACAAATTCCCACACTTATCATATCCAAAAATGGATGTCTCATTCTGCATTTTAAGTCCACCACTTCTCTGGCAGAAGGTGGGGTCATGTGCTTCATCTTAAGTCCCCTAGAATCATGTTTTATCATTGCATTGATCAGAGTCTAAAGTCTTTCAAAGTTGGTTTTCTTTATAATTTTGATGTCATTGTATAAACTGT